ATTTCAAGCACCAGGCTCCGATGGCTGGACCATGTGTTGCGCATGCCAGCCCACCGACTTCCACGACGTGCATTGTTTGCTCACCGGGGATGTAGACGGAAGAAGATGGGAGGTGACCAAGCGATGACTTGGTCTAAATGAATGAAGGCTTTCACTTCGGAACTGGCCTCGGTTGGAGCGTCACGGCTCCCTGGTTGGGGTCCAAAAGACGATGAGCACGTTGGGCTGGATACACTTGCTGACATGGCAAGGAGTCGACCTCAGTGGCGTTGCTGCTGTGAGTTGCCTTGTTCTTCTTCATCCCTTTTAGCCTCCCCCTCCAACTACGATCTCATTTGGTAGCGTAAAACATAAAAATTTTTCGTTTTGCCTAGTAGCCGGCTGGTAGCTTACCGGAACGATGCCTATTCGTTGTTGGTAGCTCAGCTGGCATGCAACTGTTGTATTTAGTTTCCTTTTCCTTAATTTATTGCGGCACAGTAGCTGAGGTGTTTCCCACTTCTAGGTGACGTGGATAATAATCAGGTAAAGTGAGAGCTTACGGTAAGCTCGCATCATTTTTGCTGTCACTAACGATGTACGACAGCGTTGCCCCATGTCCCCATTTCTTTTCAATATTGCGATCGAGGGCTTTCAGGGTTCTGGTGTAGAGCTTCTTCCTGGAAAACGTGTGAGTGATTTAGATTATGCTGATGATATTGCCTAGCTTGGTGATGACTCACAGAGCAGACAGGCAGTGCCAAACCGCTTGGGAATTGAAACATCAAAACATGGCATGACCTCTGCCCCCTACGAAATGCAGTCCTGGTGCTGGATTGGCATCCACCTGCCTCAGTGCTCACTCTTCAAGGCACGTAGATGGAACAAGTGGACAAATTTGTTTACCTGGGAGCTGTCACTGCTGGAAAAGGGACTTTTATTCGTATTACCAAAGCCCGTTCGGCGTTCGCCAACTTGATGCATCTGTGGCGAAGCCGTGACATATCACTACTCGTAAAAGTGCAGAACCTGCAATGCCTGTGTTCGCGCGTTGCTGCAGTACGGGAGTAAATCCTGACCGATTAGTGTGAATGACTTGCGTCGGATTTCGGCCTTTGACAATGGATGTCTGCGGAGAATAGCTCCAGTGTGGTGGGTGTTCCACTAGAGAGACAAGATATAATTATATGAAGATATACATTAAACAGGGCAGGAGCTAAGACACAGCCTTGCTTCACACCAGAGGTAACTGCAGTCATCCGAGGTCTCCCCACTCAGCTGCGCTCTCGCTCGTATACCACTGTGCAGACAATCAATTAAACTTACAAACTTACGCGGGCAACCAACCTTACCCAACACCAGCCACAATGCCTCGCGGTTCACCGTATCAAATGCTTTGGTGAAATCAACAAAAACAAGTACAACAACTGATGTCATTCTCTACACTTCACCTGCAACTGACGAGCCCCAAACACCATATCTATAGTGCTGCGACCCGAAAGGAATCCGCACTGCTCTTGAGGCATGTTCGGCTTCAAAACCTGACTGACGACGCGGCTGAGCAGGATTCGGGCGACCACCTTCCCCTCAAAACTCATTAGGTTGATGCCACGATAATTCGTGCAACATTGCTTGCTTTCTTTGCGTTTATACAGTGGTAGCACAAAGACATCCTTCAGCTCTGGAGGCACCTTCTTCTCAACCCACACGCGTTGTACCAAGTGGTGCAGCGCAGTCACCAACGCAGGTCCAGCGTGTTTCAATACTTCAAGCGCGATCTCGTCGGCACCGGCACACATGCCGTTTCGCAGCTGAGCAAGTACTCTCTGCGTCGCATCCAGCGTCGGCGTATCCACCAGACTTATTTTCATCTCTTGCCGTCTGAGGCCACTCAAAGTAGGCCAGCTGATCTCTGAACGGTTGGTCAAGAGACCGTGTTATTTCCAGATCTGCATCATGTCTGCAGTCCGTGTGCAGGTAGCGCCTGAATTACCATCGAGTACCGTTCACAGCGGCTCCAATCTCGGTCCATGCACCGCCTTCAAGGAGTCAAAGAATTCTATGTGTTGGCGGCGTTCGGCGTAGCATTCCATCTGATTCGCCTTATCCGTCCATCATGCATTTTCAATGAGACGGAGCTCTTGGGAAAGTCATCGTCGAATTCGCACAAAACTTGCTCCTCTTTTCCAAGTTACTGGGGTCTGCCACAGGTGCAGCAAATGCTGCATTCTTCTCCAACACCAATGCGCTAATCATCGCATTGTTCTCATTACACCAATCAGGCCGCTTACAGTTTGCGCGCCCGAAGGTCTCCTCGGCAGCAGCTGTCACCTGGTCGCGAAAGTGCCGCCTACAGGTCACCCACTGCGGCTATGCAGGCCACATCACACAGGCGTGCAGCCATCGCCTTCTCCAGCTCAGTACGATTCGCAACAGTACCGAGGGAGAAAATGTTAAATTTACGCCGATTCACGGCGGAAGTGCAATACACTGATTTATGAAAATATATGTACAGTTTGGTCCGCACCAATTTGTGATCAGTGTCACACTCAGCTCCACGCAGTACAAGTGCCATGCGCACTTCACGCACATCACGTTGACGTACGATGACGTAGTCGAGCAGGTGAGCGTGACCACTCCGTGGGTGCGTCCAAGTTGCTATATCACTCGCACTCAGGGCAAACCGAGTGTTCGTGATCGTTAGGCCGTGAGTGGCACACAGTGAGAGCGGCCTGTCGCTGTTCCCATTCGCTGAACCAGTGCTATGCGGACTGAAGACACCTGTCCACACCGGTGCATCACTCCCAACGCGCGCGTTGAAAACACCCAGCAGAAATAGTCGGTCGTTCCTCGGCACAGATCATACCACGGAGAATAACTGAGTGTAGAATTGATCACGCGTGTCATCAGCATAACACATGGACCGTAAATGCTTATAAAAGTGACAAACTTACTTTTTCCGCGTCGTAGACGAACAGTCATCAGTCGCGCGCAGATGCCTGTTAGTTCACCCACCAGGTGGCCATGGAGGCGATCGGATATTGCAAATCCGACCCCATGTTCACGTGGTGCCGATGTGGCGTTTTCCACCCAGTAGAAGGTGTAGCCAGCACCTGCTTCATGCAACTTCCCTTGCTCAGCGAGCCGGGTTTCACTGAGCGCCGCAATATCGATGTTGTAGCGCCAGTTCCATCGCGATCAGTGCAGTACATCGCTCCGGGCGCTCGCTGGAGTTCCGGTCCGGTAGTGTGCGCACGTTCCAGTACTCGATGCTGTGCTTTGCGCGCAGGCATACGAATGCGTTAATGGGTAATTGCACGCGAGGTAGTGGTTGTGCTCCGGAGGTTTGCTTGAGGGACTCCGACTGGAGCCTTTCGCTCAATAGCCTGACCGACAAGGTAGTGGGGAGCAGATTCAACTCGGGAATGTGATTGCAGAGACAGAATGGGATCTGCTTGATGGCTTTCGCGCGCAGCCTGTGGAGATCTGGAATAATTCATATATGTTTTGCGACCGTAGTATGATAGGTACCAACGCTCACGGCCAGACGCAGGAGGGTTTTGGTGGGTTTGCATCAATTTGACCACAGGCTGCTTGGCTTGAGTCGGGCAGTAGCAAACCACTGAGCACCCGGAGGTGCCCTCTCACTGTCAGAAATAAAACGTGGCGGTCGTGCTCTACGCCAATCGAGCGGTGAGCTTATAACCCGTAGACCCGTTGTCTCTCACGGCTAGATTTCAAGGAAAAAGGGCCATTGAACACTTCCTAAACCTTCGAAGTGGATGAACTAGGATACTGACAGGGCGCCCACACCTGACAGAACGACTTGGGTCCTCAACCAAAGCATTCCATTAAATGTACACCCGAAAGGCGGCGGGTCTAGGACATGGTCAGTTCACTGACTCATGCAGATTGGTATCCTGGATCTTAGCAGGAAGAAGGACGTAGCCAACTCCCATCCAGAGGTCGCCACGAGGGGTTCAGGACATGAGCAAATGGCACAATATATATATATATATATATATATATATATATATATATATATATATATATATATAGCGCCCCTTGCTGAGGCTGATGTTGCATTCATGATGCATCTTCACCGCGGTTGGGTTAAACCAACTTAAACTAGGTCTTTTTAATGCGGATAAATTTCATTACATGTTATTTGGTTTGTTCTGCGTACTTGATAATCTTCTCCTTAATTGCACAAGTCGCTCACGCAAATTGTGGTAAACTTGCGTAATGTCATCGCGTGGTACTTTTGTTAAATAACTTTCGGACATCTTGTACTTATCACGGATTCACTTATAACCAATCTCTTCTATATGCTCATTTAACCAGTATTGATGTCGTCATATGTGTTTACTTTAATCGATATCGGCATTTCGAATGATTGGCTGTTGTTTGACATCCCAGGTGTGGCTGCGCTTGATGTGCATGTTGACAAGGTGCCTACCTGTCTATCACCCACTACCTCGTCCATACTGGCTCCAGGAGACAGTTGGTCGTTGCTGGAGGGGACGGGGTGCACGGTGCTTGTGGTCGTGCTAGGCTCGAAGAGTGGTTACATGCACTCAATGTGGAGCGGACTACGGTCCAGCCACCGCCTTGTGTGCACTCGATTCCCAAAATACAGCGTGCTTGTGTTTATCTGTGAAGGAGTGTGGGCCAGCTCCGTTGATGAAATGTGGCTTCTATCAGCATGTCTCGCGGTCTTATTTCTTCGGGTTTGCACTGGATATGGGGTGTGTGGTGCAGCGCAAGCCAACCGCGGTTCCTCTGTAGTCGCAGGCGTCCTGTGGCTGACCACAGTGACAGGCAAATCCGAAATCGGATGCCGCCAACCATATATATATATATATATATATATATATATATATATATATATATATATATATATATATATATATATATATATCGTTGCAAGGTAAAAAGAAACGAAAGCGAATGGAACGAGTTCGGGTTAACAAAAAGTAACTACAGAAATTTAGCAAATAGCATCAGACCTAATCATTCACCGTGGCGAACACCAACGCTAGCACCATCAGCAAGACCCAAATCGGCGAGAGGAAGACTCAATACGGTTTGATCGTGATCGGTCTGAGTCATCGAAGAGCAATGAGGAAGTGTCCGCCGAGGCCAAGTATAAGCGATCAGTTGGATGCAAGAATCTGTGACTTGGATGGTTCGCAGGTGCTCTTCCAGGCGCCCAGCAACATCGGTCGATAGGGAGTCAGCGAACGGCGGTCTTGCCAGGGGAGTCACATGTAGAACATGCTGTTGGATAGCAACTAGAAGGTCGCGAAAGACGGCGGAATCAGGGAGTCTGAGAATGATGGGCGCTGTTTTGTTGCTGTTTGGTATCACCTAGAGGTACGAAAAATAAAAGTATGTCGATGGTCTACAAACTATCAATCAGGGAACAATAAGTGGCTATTAATGAGAACAAACCAGTTCAGTCGGAAAAAGAGATGTTGGCCCGCAATAGAAGAAAAAACCTACAGCAACAGTAAGCAAAGACATCGCGCAGACACCTCGCTGCCAGCTGATCACTAACAACCGCGCGGACTATGAATGCTGTGAGGTCATCCGCACCTGCGCAGCCTCGAACCCCTAGACTGGGAACTACAAACCAGAAGACGCCTGAACCATTTGACCACTGGATGGCCACGATTCCACTAGTTTCGATGGATGACAGCATAAACATATTAACAAACATTTTCACTAGTACTCTCATTACCTAATATAAGTTTACACAATAACTTTTTTGTGATAATCTAGTAGCCGGCAGGTAACTTTCCGGAACGACGCCCATTTGTTGCTGGTAGCCCAGCTGGCAAGCAGCTGTTGCATCTACTTTCTTTTTTCTTTTATATATTGCTGCACAGTAGCCGAGGTGTTTTAGACCTCTAGCTGATGTGTATAATGAATGATTCCCATCACTGAACGTTTTGATTAGTGAGACCAAACAATGATAGACATAGCGATGGTGGGTGGAGATGTCTATGCGATAAGGAAAGAAAAGCAGTGTGACGAATGCAGCAGCACCTAAAGGTGTCCCCTAATATAATGAACGATATTCAAGGAGCGGACAAACGCGCAGATTTGATTTTCCAAATTAAGTGAATATAGAAACGAAAGGAATAAACCGACAAACATTCGTTTACATAAATTGGTTGATTGATGGGCGCACAGGTGTAAAACAGTGGGTTTCTCGTTGTTTATTCAGTTGAGACAAAGGAGGGAATCGACTAGCGAAAAAACGTCGTTATACCTAGAAAATGACGAACATTATACATGGAGGCGTTCGAAACATCGTATCATCATTTCCACCGACTGGCCCTTGAAGGACCAATCAAACACAGTATCCTGAAACAGCGTCATGACTAAACTACACATTTTTGTGGTGTTTGTGCACCTACTCAGCCCACTGAGCCATAATGAGTGACGCCCGCAAGCCCCTTGAGAGCTACTTCTACTAGGTCAGTCAATGAGTAAGAGTCAGACAAACTCAGCCTCTTGGCCCGCCAGGAAGGGGACTGGAAAGGGAATGACCTCTGTTTCTGTAAAATCGGACCGTTGCCATGTGGACAAGCGTTGAAGACAAAAAGTTTGCATCGAAATTAAACCACACCCTGCATCGGCCGTCGCGCAGCATTACAAGAGTCGCCTCATCTACTGCATACAGCAGGGCGGATAAGCGAAAACATGCTACTGCCGGTGCTCCCAATCTTTCTTTTCCACCTGTTTCACTCGCCTTCCAACCCCCCTTTAAAGGCCTTCCTTCTACAATTGCCAGCTCAGCTGACAACAGCTGCTACCTACAGTTATCTAAAATCACACACTAGACTCCTATCCGCAACAGCCTCTTATAAGCTGTCCCGTTTCCCTGGCGGCGTTCCATGTCCGTAGTCGGACACAACAGCTCAACAGGCAGCACACGCTAGTACGATGGACACCCTGGGTATTGACATGTAACGCACATCAGAAACAAGAGTCGGTTCGTCTTCTCACTAATGGTTGCACGCATCCGGAAACGCTGATGCGGTATTTACTGGTCAAGGTAAGGTGGTGAGCACCGTTCTCGAATCTAAGGCTGAGTCATCTTCGGTTTATTAGATTCCCGTGAGTAGTGGTTTGTGTGCAGCATGGCTGACGACATTGACTAAGGTTGATTCACGAGGTAGCATAGGCGTTGCTTGCTTGTTGTTACCGCTTAGGTCCCCACCCACTGCAGTTCTGATGCTCCAAATGATGCGGATAACGTCGTTTCACAGCGTTACGAGTTCAAATATACCCATCGTTGCACGGGATATGAACGCATAAGTTGGTCGACTAAACTTCTCAGGAGCTCAACTAGGAAGTATGAGTACAAATCGTGTAGCTGTGCACGGAGCACCGATTGTTCTTTCGTAGTACCGTGGTTGAGCATATTAGGCACCGAAGTGCGACTAGGCGTCCCCCTATAGTTGACCGGTGATGGACCCAAATGGATCATGTTGCGTTGTTACAGCGTTAATCTATGGCAACATACGGCAACACCATCTAAGTGGCGTGGTTCCATCCTGGATTGTCGCTCGTTCCGGAATGCGTGCGTCGACTGTGATCATGTTTTGGTACGTTGTCGTTTTCCATGAACTTGACGGGGATGCGTACCAAGCGTTTAAGCGACAAACAGCTTCGAAGCCTTGAGCTAACGCGTTCTTATCAGAGTGCATAATAACAAAGCAGGCATTAGATGACATGTTAGCACAAGGCTTCTAAGCGGTCTCTCGCTTACATTATCCAACTTTCTGTGCTTCTATTACTGATTGGTAACTAGAGAGGTTATCCCAACTCAGTCAGGCAAGCATACCAGGATGCTGCACGCAACGAAATTTCGCCCTCTCGCCCTACGGACACTGAGCCTCAGTAAAATAGGATCTCGGCTGTCATGTATGATGCCGGAACCACGACGTGCGACTGTATAAGACGTCATCGCACCGGATATCCGAGAGCTCGATCAATCCAGTGAAATTCACAAGAAAACCCCCTGCTGGTTCTGAGGACGGTGTAACCAGACGGAATATTTAAGCGCGAACTAAAGCAGAAAATGAGTACTGACAAGAAAGCCTGGTGGACCAGTATGGCTCAAGAAATGGATGAGATGCTTCCGTAAATATCACAGACTCTTTCAACTGATGCATACCAACGGTCCCAAGAACTAGGGTATCAGTGGAACAATCAGTCAACACAAGTGCCTTAATTCACAATAGTTGACAGGCTACATCGGGTGCTGGAGTTGTAGAGAATGCAACGCGGTACAGATGAATTGTGTATTAGAGAAGAATGGGGCATCAGCAGTGCACCGGGACACAGTACCGGTGCTTCGCTGCTGCGCAACCACCACCAGTTGCATGTGGGCTTAGGATAGTGTGAGGGTCGCCCGGTCCCTACGCAGGCTCGAACCCGCAAGGCAGACTTGTGATCCTCAAGGCTCCAGGACAGCCGAAAACCCATGTCTAGATCTCATAATAATTCGAACATAGAAACTCAGTACTACTTGCGCACTTTTTTGTGATACCGTTCTGACTCTCCGTTACGCTGCGCAACTTCATACACAGCGTATCGCTGGAGGTTGATTTGAACATCACGCGTCCTTCGTCCAAAGCGACCTATCACTACTTTTATTTCCAGCCAGCTAGCTTTTAGACGTTTTACTCATTAGTAGAGGATCACGCTCATCCCCTCCAGTTTCCGCGGCAATCGACCTCGCACGCAGTCTCCAACCTTCGAGACTGCTACATGCGTGTCGTAGTCTTTCTCCTCGTTCGTACCACTTCCTCAATGCGCAAGCGTGAACTCGCCGGCAATCTCCCTGCCGAGCGATGGTGTAGAAATGTCCTCGTCGACCGATTACATCATGCGCTCCCTTCCACTTCGGTTGCAGCTCCCTCTCTTCTGGGCCACATGCGTATTTGTGATTTCTGTACTTCGCCTTAGAACAGATTAGAAGGTTTCCGGTCAATTTTCTCATGTTGACTTGGGATTTTTCTATCATCCGGTCCTGAGTTGCTCTCCGATTTCAGTTGGTTAGCTTTCTGTTGTTCCGTGCACGCTTTGTCGCTAACTGGCAAGTCGCCCAAACTCCTACATCCAGTCGAAGTCTGCGTACGCACATTAACCGGAATGTAGATCTCTTGGTGTTTGCTTCCTTGGACGCGCGTGTGCTGGCAAGAGAAATATTAAAGCTTCTTTCCAATATCTACCCTTAGCCGCCAGCTAGTCCACTGCATCAATCCGTTTATCTGGGGACAGTAAGGAGTCGTTCGTATCCTTTTGATGTCTGAAACTAGTTATTTTCAATGTAAGGACGTTGATCTGTCGATAGGACCTAGGGGAATTCCGTGTCTGGCTATCAAGTGTTTCATCGTGGGGCATGCTGTATCGTGCCAGCCGGAATTGTCACGGCTTCAATCCAGTGAGTGAAGCACTCAGTCATCACGACTATAAATTGATTGTCCCGTTTTATAAGGGTGAACAGTCAAATCACAACTCGCCAATCTTGTAGATCGGAATCGAGAGCCTAGATTGTGGTGAGCTTCGATTGTCTCATTCCAAGATATGACAATGATGACACGAGAGCACGTACGTATCGATGTCTAAATTCACGTCTGGCCAGAAAGCTTGTCCTCTAAGCAAATCATATGTCTTGGTGCACCAGTTGACATGAGATCACCAACTGTTTCCTTAATTGTAGGGGATCACCGTCAATGTGATAGCGCCGCGTCCTTGTGTCCCCATGAGAATTCCGGCTTTGAGGACGTGCAGCTTTACCAGACTCCGTGCGAACGGCCCGAGGTGCCGGCCTTGGATTTCGGTTGCCGAAGCTTGATTCATTATTTGTGCTGTTATCATGCCGATCAGGAGCCGATGATACCAAAGGCAACACTTGTCATGCGCGATAAAAAATCCGCGGTTCCGTTGTTTTACCCTGATATGTGGTTTATCGTTAAGTTATATGGTGTGCAAGGGCAAAGAAAGCAGGCAATGTTGCAGGAATCATCGTGGCATCAACTTAATGAGTTGTAGAGGCAAGATGATTGCCCGAATTCTGCTCAACCGCCTCGTCAGTCAGGTTGTGGAACTGAATGTGGCGGAAGAGCAGTGTGGATTCCGTTCGGGTCGCAGCACTATAGATATGGTTTTGCGGCTCGTCAGTTGCAGGTGAAGTGTAGAGAACGACATCAGTCGTTGTATTCGATTTTGTTGGTTTCACCAAAGCATTTGATACGGTGAACCGCGAGGCAATGTGGCTGATGTTGGGTAAGTCTGGTTGTCCGAGTAAGTTTGTAAGTTTAATTGAATGTCTGCACAGTGGTATGTGG